TTCACTCTTATAATTCAATGATTCACTCATATGATTCAATGATTCAATCTTATGATTCAATGATCCACTCTTATGATTCAACGATTAAATCATACGATTCAATGATTCAATCTTACGATTCAATGATTCAGTCTTAGGATTCAATGATTCACTCTTAGGATTCAATGATTCACTCTTAGGATTCAATTATTCAATCTTACGATTCAATGATTCAATCTTAGGATTAAATGAATCACTCTTATGATTCAATGATTCACTCTCAGGATTCAACGATTCACTCTTAGGATTCAATGAATCAATTTTATACTTCCTAGGCTCGGACCCAGCTCCTTATGCTCGGAGCTTCACAGAAGCTTCACAGAAGCTTCTGTCTAAGGAGCTCGCAGCTGGCTCTGAGCTAGGGAGTATAAGATTGAATCATTGAATCCTAAGAGTGAATCGTTGAATCCTGAGAGTGAATCATTGAATCATAAGAGTGATTCATTTAATCCTAATATTGAATCATTGAATCGTAAGATTGAATCATTGAATCCTAAGAGTGAATCATTGAATCCTAAGAGTGAATCATTGAATCCCAAGACTGAATCATTGAATCGTAAGATTGAATCATTGAATCGTAAGATTGAATCGTTCAATCATAAGAGTGGATCATTGAATCATAAGGTTGAATCATTGAATCATATGAGTGAATCATTGAATCATAAGAGTGAATCATTGAATTATAAGAGTGAATCATTGGATCCTAAAGCCATTCGAGGATGATAAGGAAGGTAAAAAGATAAGGATAAGGAAGATAAGAAGATAAAGATAAGAAGATAAAGATAAGGATAAGGAAGATAAAAAGATAAAGATAAGGAAGATAAATTTTTTTGAATTTATTAATAAAATATAGACTTTGCAACCATGAAGGTTGAAATACATCTATCATTTACAGGGTAAGGTTGATTAGAAAAATATTGTATATTTACAAAAACATATTTACTATAATATAGGAAGAGTTTAAAACTTTTAGTATGATATTACCATAATATTTACAAATAAAAATGTATGTAATTTATAGTTACTCAGTGTTTATTATAAATCGTTACAGACGAGGGAATGTACGAATTTTTGAAGCGATTTGTCCGACAATTAATTGGAACGAGTTTATTCGATGTGCGTAGATTGTAGCTTGGATGTTCGGCTGGTTCAACTAGTTCGGATAGAGGACTAGTTTGCGGAAGAACCTTTTTTCTAAAAAATTTTGAACATAACAGTTCGCGCCTAGAATACAATGTTGGGATATTGAGATCTGATAAGGATTCTTTGTATGATGACGATGGGTTAATTATTTTCAACGCTCTTGACTGGATCCTTTCTATTTCTTTGGATAGGTATTCAGGTATGTTATAATGCCAAACTTGGGCGCAATACTCCAAGATGGGTCTTACACATGAAAAATACACTGATATCAATGTTTTAGTGTCACAACAAGCTCGCTTGAGGAGTCTAAGCATGTAAAGGCGTTTTGCGGATTTTTTCACTATGTGAGCCACGTGGTCATTCCACTTTAGGTCGTCCTTGAAAATTAAGCCAAGGAGTTTAGCGGATTTCACAACTTCAATGGGCTGTTCGTCAACGATCATTGGAGGGAAATTTGGATTGTTTTCCAAAAACAAACGAGGATTTCTTTGCATTTACGGGGGTTTAAGGACATGTTATTTCTTGCACACCACTGCGTAATTCCTTCTAAAATAGTTTGAAAGTTCGAATCTTGGTTTCTAGAAAGGGTTTCTGAAACAGACAAATCGTCAACATATTTCCATCTATCGTCCCAATCAACCAACAAATCGTTTATCATAATCATAAATAGAATCGGACCTAAGACAGTGCCTTGTGGAACCCCGCCGTTCACTGGTTCGAAACTTGAGGTGTATTTACCTATCTTCACTCGCTGTTTCCTGCCAGTAAGAAACTGTTTTACCCATGCAATAAGAACGGGATCGATGGCCATTTCCTCCATCTTCTTGATAAGAATATGGTGATCAATCTTGTCGAAGGCTTTACTAAAATCCAGAAGATAAAAAGATAAGGAAGATAAAGATAAGGAAGATAAAAGATGAAGATAAGGATAAGGAAGATAAGAAGATAATAATAAGGATAAGGAAGATAAAGATAAGGATAAGGAAGATAAAGAAAAGGATAAGGAAGATAAAGATAAGGATAAAGAAGATAAAAAGATAAAGACAAAAAGATAAAGATAAGGAAGATAAAGATAAGGAAGATAAAGATAAGGAAGATAAAAAGATATAGATAAGGATAAGGAAGATGAAGATAAGAAGATAAAGATGAGAAGATAAGGAAGATAAGGATAAGGAAGATAAAGATAAGGATAAGGATGATAAGAAGATGAAGATAAGGGTCGATGTAGGGTCGATGTAGGGTCGATGTAGGGTCGATGTAGGGTCGATGTGGGGTCGATGTGAGGTCGATGTAGGGTCGATGTAGGGCTAGGAGTATAGAAACCATGGCGAATGAACTATTAAGCCAAACGACTCTTATTAAAAAAAAAATTAAATTGTTGTGCGTAATTTAAATAAAATCAAACACATTATGCTCTAAAAAGTAGATCACATTAACTTTTTAAACGTCTCGAAGAAATAAGTGTATTTTAAGACTGAATTCTTGTGTAAACTTTTGGCTGCAAAGCGCTCCTGCCTTGTATAAATTGCTTTCCCTCTTCCAATATAAACCTCCTTATTGTTGTGTTTCCAACCCGCACGGATAATCCGCGACGCCCGCGCAATGAATATCCTAATCTACCCGTATTTATCCACACAGTAAAAAATGCAAATCTCTGATAAAAAGTTAATCCTTTAATTAGTTTCACCCTAACAACACATAGCAACCGGTGTGCTCTAATATAGCTTAAATTTATTAACCTTATCCGAGCTTTAGTACTTTATAAACCTAGCACAAAAATATAGAAATCGCTTGACAATTATATATCATGACCTCTATGGGGTAGTTTACATATAAATGCAGCTTATCTCGCAATGGAAACAGTACAGACTAAGATCTTAATCACTAATCAAATACATTACATGTAGTAGCTTGAAATAAACTAAAAATAAACAAACGGTACCGTAGCACCTACAAATAAAAACTGTAGATAAACAAACGGCAACGAAGTAGGTAGCTGGAAAATAAAAACTGTAGATGAAGAAACGCCAACGAAGCAGCCAGATATAAACCAAAAGCTATACTACAAACGATTAAACGGTATCGCAGTATCTAGAAATATAAACTGTAGATATAAAAGAAACGGCGGCGAAGTAGCTAGAAATACCGGGTGGCCCAAAAAAAAGTACTCCGGTTTGATTCGAAATAACTTCTAAACAAGTAAAGCTTTTAAAGAGAAATAACTTGTATCAAATAGAGGAAGGACTAACTTAGATTTTGATATATTACAGTTGTATTTCACTTAAAAATTCACGGAGATATTAATGTTTAAAATCGGGAGCATATTTCTGGATGTGTCTGAAATATGCCAAAAACAGCGTATCAAATATTAATCAAGATTTACCCAACTGAAACATGCACTATTACCTGTAAATAAATGACACTTGACAAATTGTTTATTATGAAACAAAGTATTATTATCTACAAAATACAAGCAAGATTTATTCGTCCGAAATCCGCGTGTGTTCCTAGCACGAATACGTTTCCTTATTTCATGAGACCACTGCATCGCGAAGGATCGTCATGGATCGTTCGTAGTTCTGAATTAGGGCACGCTGTCACAATGGATTGTGAATTTTCTAACTTCACATTGAATGAATTTTCTAACTTCTGCAACGTTCTGAAATCTTGTTGAAACACCCAAACTCTTTTGCCTTTCTTAATCTTGGCAAGTTCAGAATAAACTGAGAATGAAACACAATCAAACCATACAACTCCATAAGTAAAGACATAACAAGCAACTCCCCAGAGACATCCAACATTTTTGGAACAAAACGTAACAAAATAGTAACTTTGATACTGTGATGTGTATTTGCAAAAAGCAATATTATTTCCTCCATTAAAGAACAATATTCATCCTGCTCTAACCGAGAAATAATCAACTTCGTTTTGAACCCATGAAAAACATAAAAAATAGGTTATTCAAGAAAAATTGAAGCGCCTGCCTCGCATGGTCTTTCATGTACCTTAAGTTTGCAAAGACCTATTAAATACTTACATAATTTCGAACGTCCATATTTCAGGAAACAATGAGTTAAGACTTACATGTAAGATGTCTAAATCTACGCCATATCCCTTACAAACCCTAACGACAATTCGCTGAAATACAAGTTACCCTGATATGTCATTAAGCAAACAAAAGCCGGAGTTAAAATTTGATACGCCGATTTTCGCTAATTTTAGACACATCCAAAAATATGCTCCCGATTTTGAACATTAATATCTCCGTGAATTTTTAAGTAAAATGCAACTGTAATATATCAAAATCTAAGTTAGTCCTTCCTCTATTTAATGCAAGTTATTTCTGTTTGATAGCTTTACTTGTTTAGAAGTTATTATAAATCAAACCGGAGTACTTTTTTTTGGGCCACCCGGTATAAAACAAACGGCAACGAAAAAGCTAAAAATAAACTAAAAGCGATGCTACAAAGGCATCGCAGTAGCTAGAAATATGAAACAAACGGCGAGGAAGTAGTTGGAAATATAAACTGTCGATAAACAAACGGTAGCGAAGTAGCCAGAAATATAAAACAAACGGCAATGCAGCGCCCAGAAATAAACCAAAAGCCATACAACAAACAGTCAAATGGTATCGTAGCAGCTAGAAATAAAAACTGTAGATATAAAACAAACGGCGGTGAGGTAATCGGAAATATAAAACTGTAGATAAACAAACGGCAGCAGTTCAAAAATACAAGTAAGCTCAAATAAATTCAAATGACCTGAATAAATGAAAATATTTAAGAATTAATGACGTCATGGGCGGTGCTAAGTGCACCGCCCGCACCGCCCGTCGTAGAACCCCCCTTCCCTATACTACAAAGTTATGAATAATTTTATGCATTTAGATATTCATATTGTAGTATAATGAGACTTTTTACTGATGTAATTTAACCTAAAGGTTACAAATCGGTATTTTATTAAATTATAATTATAAGATCGAAAGCTTTCGAAAAATCGAGCAAAAAACCCTCACAGCGGTTTTTGATGTACGAGGTTCATATAACAGGTGATGAACGAAGGTTAATAGGGCGTGAGTTGTCGAGGAGTTGTTTAAGGAACCAAATTGTCGTCTATCAATCTTTTCCATTATATACTCAAGTAGCCAATCGGTAACAAACTGTTCACAGGTTTTAGACAGGTTAGGTGTAAGCGAAATGGGGCGAAGATCTTTGGTTATGTCCTCAGGCGAAGCTATTTTTGGAATTGGGATGACATTGGCTTTTTTCCACATGGTCGGAACAGTCGCTTGTTGGATGGAAGCATTAAAAATTGATGCAACAGGGGAAGCAAGTACATAAGCGTAGAACTTGGAAACCCAGTTTGGTATTCCATCTGGACCAGGAGATTTTAGCAGTTGATATAATGGATAATTTATGGTATACCTCTTCTTCTTTAATGATAAACTCTGGTGAAATGTCATAATGGCTGTTTTCTGGTAAAATGTCGATATGAAGACGATTTAAAGGAGGGATTTCTTTTGTAACTGAAACAAAAGCGTCATTAATATTTTCGGCCAGGGCTTTTCCTGACATCACCTGATTTCCCACGACAAGGGTTGAAAGAACTTTCTTCTTAGGATATCCTGATAACTGTTTTATTGATTGCCACCACTTTTTTGGGTTAGGGTTTAGCTTTAACTGCATGTTCTAACTTTTTCTCAAGAAATGTGGATCTGAGCTTCTTACTTTCTCTGTTTACCTGATTTCGTAACTGCTGATAATGTGGACTTTTTCCATGATGGAATGCCTTTTGTCTGGTTCCGATAATTTTCTTAAATTCAGGAGTTACCCAAGGTTTGTCATTGTCATGTAATTTTACAGTTTTTTATCGGAAGGAAACAATACAATGCGGCATGTATGATGTCTAGGAAGAGGTTTAATTTTTGTTCACAAGAAATAGTGCGGTATAAAATGTTCCAATTAAAATCGGTTAACCACTTTCCAAAAGCAGTTTTTGCAGCATTAAATCCCTGTCTGATTTTTACTTTCGTGTGCGCGTTTTTAGTTGAACCTTCCTTATATGAGCATAACACTGAGATGTGGTTGCTGCGCCCAACGAGTGGGATTACCAAGGGGATGTTACAAAAGTCTGACATGTTTGTCAAAATTAAATCCAAAATAGCATTCCCTCTCGTAGGTTGTTTAACAATCTGATTTAAAGTAAAATGTCTGAGTATTGTGGAAACTGGACATTTGTTAAAATCCCCAACTAATATTATGCCAGCATTTGGGTACATGGAGAGGGCAACATCAAGCTTTATGGTAAGGTGTTCGATTAGTATTGTTGTCGCTGGATGGTGGGTGGTAAACCACACAGACAACCAAACATGAGAATCCTCGGAACAGTTTGTAAGGTCTCAGGTAAAGCCACAGAGTTTCGAAACAAACATCTTGCAAACAAGTTAGAATTTTAAAGGGGATCTGTGACTTTATATAAGCACACACCCCTCCTCCAGTCCTTGATTTTCTATCACGACGTATCAAGGAGTAGCCATGTATTTGAACTGCGGCGTCGTCAATGTTTTCGTTTAGCCATGTTCTGTGATAAAAGCCAAGCTGGCATGATTTAATTTAAGAATAGCATCTAATTCATCAACTTTCGGCAGAAGTGATCTGACATTTGGAAGGAAAAATTATAGTGGGTTCTTTGGGCATTTGGGCAACCTAGTCTTCAATTTTTATTTTCTTTTATTATTTATTTAATTTCTTTTATTTTCAATTTTTTCAATTTGGTTCGATATAGGAATTATCAAATTTTTCGTTTGTGTATGCAGGGGTACTGTTTAAACGATTATGTAATTTAATTTGCCGTCTAGTTGTCCAAAGTGGGATATTATTTGTTCTAGGTATTTGATCAGCTACGGCCGGGCCGGTCAGTATATGAAATGCTTTGTCGGTCGTACTGCTCTATGGATGCATGGGGCGCGTCAAACGATTGACCAGATTTTCTTGTCTGATGGGTGGTAATTGTGGTAAAAGGAAGGGAAACTCCATCAATGGTCGGGGGTAAGGAGGGTGATTGGGGCGTCGTATGATTTGACAAGCATTCGGTTGAATTGGGAATAAAAAAGGGCGATAGTGTTGGTTTCGATTTAAACTTGGATGTAGAAAATCACAATTGCGCTGGTTTCGTTCAAGGTTTGGGTGAAGGAAGTCGCAATTTTCGCCTTTGAGACACCAACCCCTTCGTGACAGGAAAGGACAAGGAACGGTATTTTTGGTTGGTTGGTCGACATGATGTTGCCGCGCTTTAGAATGTGTTTCTACATTTATGGTTGGAACGCGATTTCTCGAGCGTTTAAATTTTATCCGACGGATTGCGAGTTAAACGGTAATAGCGAGTTAAATGCCTTTGATACAACCGGCCCCAGTAGTCAAAATAGGGCTGTTTGTAAGAATTCCTGAGGAACACAGGTCTTCATTCGTTTAATTACTGCAATTCCTGCATTAACTTTCTTAATAATCATATCAATATGGTGTTCCCAGTTTAATTTTTCGTCGAAAGTGACAGCGAGGCATTTATAGAAATTTACTCTTGGGACAGGAACATTGTTAATTATAATATCGGTATTCCTCGAGGTATATTCTTAATTTTAAAAGAGGGTGCAATAAACATACATTTAGAATTTGTAGCTTATATGATTCTCCATCTATTCGTCATAATATTTAGGTCATAATTTATGTTGTCAATAAGATCATTTACATTGTGTGATGACGCGTAAATTTCCGTGTCATCAGCATACAGACCAGGTGTGCTTTTTTGGAGACATTGTGGCAGGTCATTGGTGAAGAGCAAAATAACAACGGCCCCAGGATCAACCCCTGGGGGACCCTACATTTTAATTTTCCAACGGAGGATAGTATCCCACTATAGCAATACAATATAAGGTGTCTGAAATTCAGACACCCGCGCGCGTATGGCTCGCAATAGAATATAAAGGTATCTGAAATTCAGACCCGTATAGCTCGCAATAGAATGCAGGGGTGCCTGAATTTCAGACAACCAGATATATAGCTGGCAATAGAATGTATAAGGGCTCTGAAATTCATACACCCCAGTAACTTGCATGATCGGTTATTCCAACTCCTGTCGCTGGTATCGAAATAACCGATCATGATAGATATAACTATATGCATGGGTGTCTAAAATTCAGACACCCGTATCTAGCTCACAATAGAATATAAAGGTGTCGGAAATTCAGACACCCCATATCTTGCATCAGCAATATGGTTGTGTTCAAGGGCGGCGGAAAGTCGATAATTGGGGG